AAGATCTCGAACGAGATGCTGGAGCAATGCCCGCACCCCGCCTTCAAGCCGCTGGTGTACGTGCTGGCCTTCTTCCACGCCGTGGTGCAGGAGCGCAGGAAGTTCGGCAAGATCGGCTGGAACGTCTACTACGACTTCAACGAGTCCGACTTCCAGGTGCGGCCCCGCTTCCCCGGGACATCCTCCCCCCCCTCCCCATCCCCCGCTCTGCACTGTGTCCCCAGGAGCGTGCCCGAGCCTCCCCGCCCCTCCCCTCCAGGTCTGCATGGAGATTCTGAACACGTACCTGACCAAAGCCTTCCACCAGCGCGACACGCGGATCCCGTGGGGCAGCCTCAAGTACCTGATCGGAGAGGTGGGCGGCCCGGGGACCCTCCCTGACCGGTCCCTCCGCTCCTCCTGCCGGCTCCGCTCCCTGCCCGGCCGCTGTCCTCGGACAGGCCGTGGCGCCGCTCCATGGGGCAGGCTGTGCGGCTCCGGGAGACAGCAGGTCCCCTTCCCGGGCAGAAGCCAAAGCGGCCGTTCCCACCCCCGGGACCAGGTCATGTACGGAGGCCGGGCCATCGACAGCTTCGACCGCCGCATCCTGACCATCTACATGGACGAGTACCTGGGCGACTTCATCTTTGACACGTTCCAGCCCTTCCACTTCTTCCACAACAAGGAGGTGGACTACAGGATCCCCGGGGGCGCCGCCGACCCCAAGGAGCGCTTCGTGGGTGCGTGTCTCGGGGGCCGCATCTCAGCGCTCTGCTTGCTCACTTGGCGTGCGGCTCTTCTGTCTCTCCTGTCCCCCCGCCCGGGGCCGGGCTGTCACACGGCTGGTCCCAGCCTCGGAGCTGGCGGCGTTGGCGCTCATTCCTGGCCTGAATGGCGGGTGGCCCTGCAGAGGTCACGGCCTTTCGTCCAGACAAGGGGGCGCTGGATGGGGCTGGGGTGGAGCTGTACGGGGGACCGTGCGCGCGGAGCAGCGGGGGCTGGTGTCCGGCGGGGCGGTGCACGCGGTGACTGCTCGCTGTCCGCCGCAGAAGCCATCGAGGCCCTGCCGCTGGCCAACACGCCCGAGGTGTTCGGACTCCACCCCAACGCCGAGATCGGCTACTACACGCAGGCCGCCCGGGACCTGTGGGATCACCTGCTGGAGCTGCAGCCTCAGACAGGTAGAGGGCGCGTCGGGCCGGCGGGCAGGGCTCTGCCTCGGGTCCGAGTCCCCGCCTTGCTGCCGCCTCGCCCAGCCCCTCGCCCGGCGCCCCGCTCCCCTCACAAGCGTCCCGCCCTAGGGGAGTCGAGCACCGGCATCAGCCGAGAGGACTACATCGGCAGCGTGGCCAAGGACATCGAGAACAAGATGCCCAAGGTCTTCGACCTGGACCTGGTGCGCCGGCACCTGGGCGGGACCATCACCCCCACGGCCGTGGTGCTGCTGCAGGAGCTGGAGCGCTTCAACAAGCTGCTGGTCCGCATGTCCCGCTCGCTGGCCGAGCTGCAGAGGGTGAGCCCGCTCCCCGGCCAGGCTGGCCTCACCCCTCCGCCTCCCCACCCGCCGCAGGCCCTGGCCGGGGAGGTGGGCATGTCCCACTCGCTGGCCGAGCTGCAGAGGGTGAGCCCCCGGGCGGCGGTGCCTGCTCCCCATGCCAAGGCTGGCCTCACCCCTCCGCCTCCCCATCCGCCGCAGGCCCTGGCCGGGGAGGTGGGCATGAGCAGCGAGCTGGACGACGTGGCCAGGTCGCTGTTCCTGGGGCACATCCCGCACATCTGGAGGAAGCTGGCCCCCGACACGCTCAAGTCCCTCGGCAACTGGATGCTCTACTTCCTGCGGCGCTTCAGCCAGTACACGTACTGGGTGAGGGCGCCCGTGCCCAGCAGCCACCCGCCGCCCCCCCACCCAGGGCCGACCCTGCTCACGCTGACGGTGCTCTGCAGCACATGTGTGTCTCCTCCTCTTCCTGTTTTAAGACCTGGGAGGGCGCTGCCCAGCGTGGCCCCCTCACTGGGGAGTCTGTCTCGGCACCTGTCCATCTAAGCCCCTTAGACCCGCCTCCCTCTGGGGGTGCCCACTGGACGGGCCGGGGCCGTCAGCGTGGAGCGGCCTCTGACGCGGCTGCCCCACTCTCAGGTCACGGAGTGTGAGCCCAACGTGATGTGGCTCTCAGGACTGCACGTGCCGGAGTCCTACCTCACGGCCCTGGTGCAGGCCACCTGCCGGAGGAACGGCTGGCCCCTGGACCGCTCCACCTTGTTCACGCATGTGACCAAGTTCCAGGACGCAGAGGAAGTGACCGAGCGGGCAGGACAAGGTGCGACCCTGCCCGGGGACCCACACCTCCCTGTGGGGCGCCGGCCGGTGCCGCCCGGGTCTGAGGGAGGAGCAGCGGCGAGCCCAGTGGGCCAGGCTGTCGGGAGCCACGCTGCTGTGCCCACTGCTGCGCCTGCGCTGCCCACGTGGGGACATGCCGGCCACATCGCTTCCCACTGGGCTCTCTGTCCGTGCGGAGGGGTCCCCGGTCAGTCTGACCTTTCCGAGGCTGGTCACCGGGCGGCCGCTCCGGAAGCCCCGAAGGCCGGGCCCAGGAGCCAGAGCAGAGGGGCGAGGCGGGGCCGTCACATTCGCTGATCCCGGCCTGCAGCGCAGCCGACCCTGCCGTCTCCCCTGGCCCTGGTGCCCGAGCAGGGCGTGTCCCTCTGAGCCCCGCGGGGACCATGGGGAGGCTCGGGCATGCTCCCAGTGTGTGCGCCGCGCACGCCTGTGCCTCTGCGTGACGGTCCCTTCCTGGCTCCCAGGGTGCTTTGTGTCGGGACTGTACCTGGAAGGCGCGGGCTGGGACCTCGAGAGAGGCTGTCTGGTCAAGAGCAAGCCCAAGGTGCTGGTGGTGGACCTGCCCATCCTGAAGATCATCCCCATCGAAGTCCACCGCCTCAAACTGCAGGTGGGAGGCCCCACGCTCTACCCCCTCCCCCCCCCCCCCCCGCCGCCTGCAGGCACCTCGAGGTGGCCTACCCTTCCCCGGGGGGGGGGGACCCCGTGAGGTATGATAGCTGCCCAGGAAAATGCACGCGAACACACGCGCGCACGCAGACTTGGGAAGGCAGGTTCCTCAGGAGGGTCGGGCTCCCGTGAGAGCCTGCGGGCGGTGCTGGGTCCGTCCCCGGGTGCGAGCAGCCACTCCTGCTTCGCCGGCCCAGGTCCCCTCCGAACACTGTCCACGTGACGCTAGGGAGGCCGCCCTCAGAGCCTGGCCCCTGCTGGCTTAGATGCGTCTCACAGGAGGGCCCTCCGCACTGAGCCCAGAGGCCAAGGCCCCCGTCCCAGTCACCCCGGTCCCCAGGCACCCCCCACCCCGGGCACCCCCAGTCCCCAGGCACTCCTCCACCCCGGCACCCCCATCCCCAGGCACTCCCCCACCCCGGGCATCCCCGTCCCCAGGCACTCCCCCACCCCGGACATCCCCGTCCCCAGGCACTCCCCCACCCCGGGCACCCCCGTCCCCAGGCACCCCCCACCCCGGGCACCCCCAGTCCCCAGGCACCCCCCACCCGGGCACCCCCGTCCCCAGGCACTCCCCCACCCCGGGCACCCCCGTCCCCAGGCACTCCCCTACCCCGGCACCCCCCATGCCTCTCCTTCGCAGAACACCTTCCGGACGCCCGTCTACACCACCTCCACCAGAAGGAACGCCATGGGCGTGGGCCTGGTCTTCGAAGCCGACCTCTTCACCACGAGGCACATCTCCCACTGGGTGCTGCAGGGCGTGTGCCTCACCCTCAACTCCGACTGACGGCGAAGGGCCGTGCGGCGCTGCCGGCCACGCCGCTCGGGCTTCTGAGTCCCCTCCCACATGAACCCAGCTGCCGGCTTTGCTGTTGAAGCTTTTGTAAGGATTTAAGAGAAAGTAAATCTAAAGGAGAGTGTTTTGAGATGTTGAGGGTTTCCTTCTCTGTCTCAGCGGAAACACTGGATTAAGCAAAAGGCGTGCCCCCAGCACAGGGAGGACCCCGTGTGCATCTCGGGAGGCGTTTGAGCAGTCTGACTGCAGGCGCCTCCGGGGCAGACGGCCGGTCTGCGGCCGTCAGGAGAGCCCCTTCCCTGGGCTCAGCCCCTGCAGTCGCTCCCCCTCCCCCAGAGCCCTCCGGCCTCCTGAGTGCACTGCTGTGAGCCTCACCCCCTCCCGGGTCTGCAGGGCTGGGTGCGGAATGACCAGCTCCAGGATGGCGGTGCCGGCGCCCTCCTTCTGCGCTGCGGGCAGCCTGGGCCGCCGGCCAAGGTGAGGTCTCACCGCAGGGAGGAGTGGGGCGAGCACTGGAGTGCCCGGGGCGGGCCCAGCCTGGGCTAAAGACCTCGGGTAGCTCCGGGCAGTGGGAGACCACAGGGACCCCCCTTTTCGGAAGTGAGCCCCTGCACCCCTCACGGCCACGTCCCTGGTGGAGGCCACTGTCTGGCGAGAGAACAGCAGTAGCGGGAGGTCCCGCCGTCTCCCTCCCAGCCGCCTCCCTCCCTCGCTGCTTCAATAAAAGACACACACCAGAGAGGAGGCAGGTTTAGAAAATAAAGTTTGTTGGGATCTTGAACATTTGGGATAAAACTAACAAAAAATATGGACACACATTCAGGTGGTGGTGGTATGAGAAGCAACGTCATCTTATTTAGTTCCCGTGACATACACACACGCCTGCCGCCAGGGCCCCGGGCAAGCTGTGGGAGGTGAGGGGTCTCCATGGGGGTGGCGGCTGACGGCGTTGACACGGAGAGCGTGCAGCCTGCGGCCGCTGTCCACGCTGGGACACGGGTGGCGGGAAGCAGGCCATGCGGCACCGGCGCGGGCACAGCGGCTACTGCGGGAGCTGTGTCGGGGCACGGGCACGTGGTGAGGAGACGGCGGTGGGCGGGGAAGGCCGGTGGCGGGTCTGAGAGTTCGGCATGCATGGAAACTAAACAAAACGCGTGACGGACGGACGGACGTTCCGGAGCGGCGATCACAGTGGCAGCGGTGGGCGGGGCGGCCTCACACAGTTCTGTCCGTCCCCGAGTTCTTCCTGACGGCCGCGCCCCCGCGCACCTGGTCCACGGCCAGCGTCTCCACCTCGGGCGGCGCCTGCGGCGGGGCCACGTGGTGGATGCGGTGGGCCACGCCCACGTGCACCTTGTGCCGCTCGCCGGAGCCGCGGTCGGACGCGATGGGCGGGATGACCAGGGGCCTCTCCTTGATGAGGTGGACCTCGGCCGACTCCCTGGCCAGCAGGAACGGGGTGGGGTCGGGCATGGCGTCCAGCGGCTCCCGCAGGAGGAGTTTGCGGCTCTCGCCCCCAAGCCTGTAGACCTCGTCGAACTCGGGGTGCAGGGGGGCGGAGAGGCTCTTCTTCATGCGGCGGCGGGGCGTCTCGGGCAGCCTGTCCTTGGGGGGCGCGGGCTTGTAGCCGGCCGGCACGGGGCTCCCGCCGGGGCTGCCGTCCGAGGTGCCGCTGGCGCCGAGCAGCTTCCGCTTGGTGGCGTGCAGCTGCGAGGTCAGGTAGGCGATGGTGCCGGCGCGCTGCTCCAGCTCCCCCGACAGCAGGCTCAGCTTGTGGCTCTTGAGCTTCAGCTCCTCCAGGTACCGCTTCTCGCGCTCCCGCACGGTGGTCTCCAGCACGGCGATGGCCGCGTCCCTCTGCTCCAGCTCGCGCAGCAGCTCCTCGTGCTCCTGCTCCTTCGCCCGCAGCTGGGCCTCCAGGTCCTCGCAGCGTCTCCGCAGCTCGCTGCTGCACCCGTCCCCTGGGAGCACAGGCACGGCCCGTGAGAGCCCGCCACGGCCATGCCAGCTCCCGGCCTGCTTATTGTATAAAGGACACCTCCACGCTGACCCCCCGCTGCGGCCGGACGGGCAGGCTCAGCGCCGGCTCCTGGAGGCGCACCCGGGAGACGGGAATACAGACGGCAGGCTCAGGGCCTGGCCAGCACCGAGCCTCGTGGACTGACCTGTGACTTGTCCGACCAGGAGCTGGGCACACGTGTGTGTAACTGCCCCACAAACAGGCTGCTTAGAAGGGGCGTCTGATTCAAATGTGGAGTCTGCCAAGTCCCACCCTGTGCTGGGAGCAGCTCCTGACCCTGCAGGCCCGCCCCAGCTCTGCCCGGCTGCCACCAGCTGATTACCTCCGGGGACCCAGGATGCTGGCTGGGGAAGCGGGCCTGGGACTGGAGTGAGGAAGGACCTCGGCCACATTCAGGGCGACCTGGTACTGAGACCCCCTCACCGGGCCCTGGGGGGCCCTGCGCCGCTGCCGCCGCCTCCTGGTCACACCAACGACAGAGACCAGGAAGCCCGGGGAGGCGTCCCTCCTCCCGCCCGCAGCCTGGGAACACAGGTCCCGCACAGCGCTGGCCGCGGGGAACGCTTCCTGCGGAGCAGGCGCCATCACCCTCTGGCGGCAGTTCTTACCTGTCTGCTCTGAACTCTTGAGGGTCAGCTCATACGTTAAATCTGAAAAGGAAACCACGGGTGTTGGTTCTGGCGGTCACAGCAACTGCAAAGGCCCGGTCCACTCTGGACCGGCCACCAGCCGGGGAGACCACACGGGCAGGATTAGGGGCAAGCGTGACAACGGCGGAAGCTTTCAGTGGCCACCGCCCTCCTCAGGGTCCAGAGGGAACCCCTTTCCCATCACCCACGTCCTGCCAGCAGCTGGCTCTGCTACATGGCACTCTGCACCTGGACCTGTGGGTTTGCGCTGCGCCCGGGGCTGGCTGCCCAGCTCTCGGGCTCAGGCCGCGGGGGTGGGGGGGGGCGTGCACGAGTGGTCTCCCGGTTATGGGTCACCCGATCCCAGGAGAGGACCCCCCTCCCGCTCCCCTCCCCGGGCGCGGGCACCTGTGCAGTGCTGCTGCAGCCGCCGGATCTCGGCGTGCAGGCCCTTGAGCGTGCCCGCGTGCTCCCGCTGCAGGAACAGCAGGTTCTTCTGCGCGCTGTGCAGCTGGTTCTCCAGGTTCGAGGCCGCCATGCTGGCACGCGGTGACCTGCGGGAACAGTGGGGTCTCAGGCAGCGGCTCCCGACTCCCAGCCTCTCTGGGGCCACCGGCTCCCACACCAAATGGCGCCTAGCACCCCGCCCCCCTCGTCCTTCCTGGGAGCTTCCGGAGGAACATCTCACAGGGCCACGGGGTGAGGGCGGGAGCCTGGGTCTGTCCCCGCGCCCTGCCCGCCACACCCCGCACGCCTGCTCAGGCCGAGACTCGGCCTTGACTGTGACTGGAGAAAGGCATCGGGCGGAGCTGCCGGCACCCAGGATGCCCTGGCCACGTGACGGGACGCGGACCATCCCGAAAGCGGTCCTGTGGGTGCAGAGCGGGGCTGCTGTCCCCAGCGCTGCGCCAGAGCCCAGGTAGAGGCTCCCAGCGGCGGCACTGGGCGGGCACCCGGAGGCCCAGGGCTGGCCTACTGGCTGTGGTGGCACCAGGGCCCCCGAGCCTCAGTGGCCCAGGGCCTGTGTCCCCGGGCTGCCTCGCCTGCTCACAGGCACCTGCTCAGCACGCGGAGGCACGGAAATGGCACATGTTCACCTTCAGGCTCTGGTGCGTGGCAGCCCTCGACGCTCTTGGGGTCGGGTCCTGTGTTCCCAGAGGCCCTGCCTGTTGGCCCGTCCCTCTTCCTGGCCCGAGCCCGGCATCAACCCTGTCCTCCCGCCTCGGCCCCTGCCACACCCTCCTCATGGCGTCCGCACACCTCCACCCGTCTGGATGCTTGGCAAACCGGCCCCAGCCCCGAGGGGCCCGCTGAGTGCGCTCCCCCTGCCCGAGCCGCACTCAGCAGGCTTCCCCTGGGCTGCCCCCCTGGGACATGAGCTCGCCCCGGCTTCCAGAGCCCCTGGGCCACGCTTCTGGACGGAAGGGAACAGTCGCTCTGCTGGCCAGGCCCTCACCCCTCAGAGACGGGAATGTCTGTTCCGATCCACCAGCTTATGCTCTCGCTCCCCACAGCCGTGGGCAGGGGAGGAACATCAGTAAGGGGGGAAGGGGGGGAGAAACAGCTTTGACAAGGGCAACAGCCCCAAGATCACGGGACATGACCACGACGCACACGAGTACCCGCCCTGCAGCATCCCACGCTCCGTGGTTCTCGGACGTGGCCCAGGATAAAAACAAGGCCCAGCACAGCCCTCTGGGGCCGGCAGCCATTTCCTGCGGAGAGCCTGCCCGCCGGAGCTGTGCGCAGGCCTGGCACTCAGACAGGGAACCACAGGCCGCGGCCGCCGGGAAGCGGCCACAGGAGGCCTGGTGATGGGGTCGCTGACCGAGCTGCGGTCCATCAGCTCAGCTCAGCTCAGTCAGCTTCTCAGCTCTGACCAGCTTCCTCTCACAGGCCACGGAGTGCCTGCACGCAGGGCGGGCTGAGCCCCCAGTGGCCGTGTCCAGGGAGGAGGCGGCCTGCTTCCCGTTGTCTGAGCGTCGCTCAGGGGCTGTGCGGGCACAGGCGGGCAGAGGCAGGAGCCCCTGGTCCGGGGCACATGACCTCTGGGGGTGCCACCACATAGATGCCCAGCCCCCATGGCAGAGGCAGGAGTGCCAGCACCCCTCTCCGAGGCCCTGGTGGACGAACGAGGAGGCCAAATGGCCGGTGGGGTGCGGGGCCCGGCGCCTTTAAAGGAGACGGACCCTTCTGGCAGGCGTTTACCTAGACCCTCACTTCCCGGGACTGTCCTCGGACGGCGCCGGCATGTCCACCTACGGCGAGGGGCCCCGAGGACCTTCCATCCAGGGGCCGGTGTGCCGACAGGTCCGATCACCGTCCCTGCTTCCTCTCCGGGGCTTCTGTGCGCGCGGGGGAGGCAGGCACGTTTTCCAGGTGACGCTTCAGCCCGACTCCCCTAAGAAAGGAAGGTTCTCTCCACTCGCTGAGCTGCTTTGTGATGTCAGGGAGGGAGAGAACTCCCAGAACCCCCATTCCCGTTCTCCAGGGAGCCCCACTGAGTGCTGGGAGCAGAAACTCCCACAAAACGCAGTGGAGGAGGTTGCTGGGACACGGCTTAGTTTCACCTTCAGCTGCCAGCACAGACTCCACCACCAGGCAGCCCTGCCGCCAGGGCCCAGCGCACCCCCTGCGGGCGGGCGGGCGGGCGGGCGTCTGCTGTGCAGTCCGGGTCGGGTTTCAGCGGTGAAGTAAGCAGAAGATAAAATGCAGCACGAGCACAAGAGCCAGCCCTTAATCGGAGTCTTTCAGAAATAGCTTCAGCTGAGAAAAACAATCTATTCACCTCTGCGCCCAGCCGGCCCTCTGAAGACTGACATCATCCGTTCCTAAGGCTTTTAAAGACACCGGGCGAAGGGTAATTTCCCTCCTGAGCAGACGCTTATCACAGAAACAAAGGCTGCGGGAAGAGATACGACCGCGGGTCGCTAACCGGGCTCTCTTTTAAGGAAAACACGAGGCGGAGCCGCTGGGACCCGCAGGCCCCATACAAATGCAAAGCGCGCTTAGGGTCCTCTGGGCGGGCGGCCTGTGCCGCAGGAGCCTGAGGATGGCGCTGTGCCCAGTAGCCGCCCGCAGGCAGGAAAGGAAAAGGAACCACGGGCCCTCCGATCGCCCCAGGCCTCTCCCGCGGCGCCGAGGGGTGAAGCCTCCTGAGCCGTCCTGCCCGGCGGAGGCCGGAGGCCGAGCGGGAGCCTCCGCAGGGAGAGGGCAGCCCTCCTCCTGGGCTGGAGGCGCCATCAGAGGCCGCTTTTGCTTTTACGTCAGTGAAGCCCATCTTCCCCTGAGTCCGCAGGGTTCCCTCCTGGTCCTCAGAAATCGCTCTGGCTCCGTGCAGTCCCTCTGCTCACAGTGGGTCCCAAACACCATAGACAGCCGGGGCACATCCACTGCCCCGCTCGGACCTCGGGCCGGGCTAACGGTGAGGCGGAGACGTGAAGGCCGGTGTCCGCCTGACTGACCGGACGCCGGTCTGAGCCAGCCCCTCCGGCACCCGCGGCGAGCACCGGGGCTGCCTGCCCCTGGAGCTACTCCCGTTAGCAGACGGTCACCGTCAGCAAACGCGGCTGCCCTGGTTCCAGATAGGAGAAGGGAGGCCCGTCCTGTCCCGCCAGCAGCGAGAGAAATGCTCTAAGATATAAAAACAACTACTTCTCCCACGCACAGACCCCGCTGCAGCATCCGTGCCTGCACATCCGCTCCGGCGAGTGAGTGATGGCGGAGACAGAATGATTTTTAACCAGCAAACAACAGGGGGCAGTTCAGAACCCAAATGGGTGATCTTCTGTCCTAAGTAAAAAAAGTCTTTTTTCTTAAAAAAAAAAAAAAAAAAAGAAAGAAAGAAAAATTAACAACAAAAACATCTCGTTTCTAAGAAGCTTGTTGGTTAGCTTGATGTATGTACGTGTGCTATAGTAAAAATCTGATCCCTGCCGAAACTGGTTTGGCTCAATGGATAGAGCATCGGCTTGGGGACTGACGGGACCCGGGTTCGATTCCAGTCAAGGGCATGTACCTTGGTTGTGGGCACATCCCCAGTAAGGGGTGTGCAAGAAGCAGCTGATCGATGACTCTCATCGATGTTTCTAGCTCTCCATCTCTCTCCCTTCCTCTCTGTACAAAATCAATAAAATATATATATATTTTTTTTAAAAATCTGATCCCTGTTCTGCACTTTAGGTTTAAAACATAACTAAACTAAACTTACCGAGGAATTATACCGTGGTGCCCAGGAATAATAAAAACGACCGCTCCTCGGCCTTTTGGCTAAGATTAAGTGTAGGAATACAAACGGTCGTGTGGATGCAGCTATCACAAGTCTTAACCTTCCATCAAAAAAAAAAAAATCACAAAAGATGAACAGTTAGCCAAGAGAGAGACAGAAAGTCAAAGCCATCTTTGGAGGTAAAAAACAACACCACAAACACATATCCCTTTAAACGTAAATATATTTTTCCTTACAACTCAACGACAATGCAGGTGGATTCTTGACTGTGCAAAGAAAAATCATTTGCTAAAAACGGTAGCAGTGCTCTTTAAATAACATTTTAACTTAAAAAAGTCTTCAAAACCCGACCCTTCTGGCTTTGACAGCCTCCCAAGGTAGGTTTCTGGGGACAACGGGGCATACAGCACTGCAGCCCGGCAGCTTGCCGTTTACCTACAACTCGGATGACTACAACCAGAGACAGGGTGACTGTTCCCTCCATCCCGCTGACCGTCGAAGCTGGAGACGGAGCGCACAGGCCGCGAGGGCTGAGTCAGAGGGCAGGGGCCTCCCTGGGCCCCAGCGGCTCAGCCGCTGAGCCTGGCGGAGGCTCCGGTGCAGGAACCACAGCCTTATTTCGGGGAAACTAGAGACCACCCTCCCCACCCCACCCCACCCCCAGCTTGGGGAGAGGCCGGGAGGCCGGGCACTTACGTAAAGGGTTCCCGGCCCGCGAAAGGCCCCCCCGGGGCAGGTCCCTAACGCCCCCGGGGGGGGGGGAGCCGCCTCTGGCCGGCGGTGTGGGTTCAGGCGGCCGCCTCCCCGCGGCCCCAGCCCCCCGCGGCCTCCCGGACAAAGCGGCCCGGCCCTCGGGCGCCCGGTGCACCTGCAATGCGGATCCCCACCCCGCGGGGCCCCCGGCCCGGACGGGAGCCCCGCGGGGCCCCTCCGCTCCACCGGCTGCAGGCCCTGCGGGCGCGGGGCCCAGCACTCTGCCTCCGCCCCGCACTCGGTCCGCCCAGCCCCGCGCTGTGCCCGCAGGGGACCCCGGCCCCACCGCACCCCGGGGCTGCGACCGGGGACCCCCTCCCGCCGCGGCGAGGGCGCAACACATACTCGCCCCGAACGGCCGTCCCCCCGCCAGGTGCCCCGCCGCCCGCGGAGCCTCCCCGCGGCCCCGCCTCACCTGCGGGCGCGGCGGCCGGCGCGGTGCTGCGGGCGGCTCCCGGCCTCGGCGCGGTCCTCGGGGGCCGGCGGCCCATGGGCGGGGCGGCGGGCGGGGCTGGCTCGGGGCTCCGGCCCTGCCCGCCGGGCCGCCCAGCGAGGTC